CATTATTTACATTCTTCGGACTGGTATCTTCATCTTCAATGCCATATTCACAGTGTTTCGGCCACTATATCTCTGAGATGAGGATTGTGATTACTGATTACATTCTTCGGACAGGTATCTTCATCTTCATTCTTCACAGGACAGGATGAGGCATTGTGATTACTTGCATTATTTACATTCTTCGGACAGGTATCTTCATCTTCATTGCCATATTCACAGTGTTTCGGCCACTATATCTCTGAGATGAGGCATTGTGATTACTTGCATTATTTACATTCTTCGGACTGGTATCTTCATCTTCAATGCCATATTCACAGTGTTTCGGCCACTATATCTCTGAGATGAGGCATTGTGATTACTTGCATTATTTACATTCTTCGGACTGTTATCTTCATCTTCATTGCCATATTCACAGTGTTTCGGCCGCTATATCTCTGAGATGAGGCATTATGATTACTTGCATTATTTACATTCTACGGACTGTTATCTTCATCTTCATTGCCATATTCACAGTGTTTCGGCCGCTATATTTCTGAGATCAGGCATTATGATTGCATGTATTATTTACATTGTTCAGACTGTTATCGTCGTTTTCATTGCCATATTCACAATGTTCCGGCCACTATATCTCTGAGATGAGGTATTACGATTACTTGCATTATTTACATTATTCGGTCAGTTATTCTAATCTTCATTCGCATTTTCACAAGGTTTCGGCCGTTTTACGCTCCGGCCTTATTCAGGTGATTGGAATTTTGTTGTACAGTGGGATAGATTGTCCTAGTTCCACGAGCCATGCCTCTTCTATATGTGACAGATATCTCCCTTTAACTCTTCACTCTTTTGATTCATCACTGCTGTGGCCTGGTATTGAACTCGCAACTCTTTGAGTATAGTTAACGGATTTTACCAATGTCTTTATCCACTGCGGCATGTTTCCTCCAAAGTTGTGAATATGGCAATAAAAATGAGGGTAACAGCCCGAATAATGTAAATAATGCAAGTAATATTTTCGGCTTAATATTTTAAATAACCAGCATAGTGTTGATAGGCCATAAAATTAAAGAAAGCGATCAGTCATATATGGGTACTTTTATGGATGGAATCGTTTCTATATCCTACAACGATACACGGAAACAGACAGCGAGAAGTTTTGATAAGTCCCTGCCGCTGTAAAAATCTTTTGAAGTGCTGTAAGCCGTTACAGAAACAAGTAAAACCTTATATAACATTAATTATGTGCACGGCTCTGAACAAGGTTCTGACAGTATTTGGAAATCAATAACGTAGCGTCTACAATAGTGCCTACCCGCCATTTATTATAATAGTATAATAAAAAGTATTATTTGGAAATGACTAACAGTTTAGATGTAAACGCTTGGAATCAACTGAAATTTTTTTTACATTGATTAAGTCCAGAAAAGACTTGTACGTATACAAGGAGCACGTAATAAAATACGACACGCAGGTAACTTGAAAATTTTGTTCAACGAAACTCCTTTATAACATAGGGTGACCCAAAAAAATAGGAACTTTTTAACAATCCAATAAAACCAAGAGTGATGGAAGAAAAATATTTTATTCATATTAATTGAAACCTTAAAACATGCCATTTAAGAAACAATGCTGGAATTTTCATTTTTTAAAAATTACGTCCTGTAGATGGCGTCCTCCTGTATGAATGCATTCTTGAAATCTGCTGTTGAGATTCCTCATTGACTGCTGCAACATCTCAGCTGGTATACTGGGAATTTCATCTTGAATTCTAAATAGCAAAATGTTTACTTGCTCAAGGTCACTGTCTCGCAGTGTTGCCACTTGCTCATGTCTGGCAATATGCACTTCAAAAATTCCCATTTTTGGGGGTTATCCTGTATGACTGCAGATATGCACGCACCGTCCATTTTTTTCCATCTCAGACTTAACTTGCGGAATAAAGGTTCATATTTTCGCACTCCAGCTGCCGACCGACTGACAAGTGCCAAAGAAGCAGGCAACTGGCAGTCGCGGTCGGCCAATGTACGCTAGAAAATTAATTCGTAATTTAGAAAAGCTCTGCCATTTTTTCTCTTGAGCACTTTTTTTGCTTGAAAGTATAAGGTCCTTTGACCGTGGACCCATTGTTCCGTGTCGGTTTAATCACATTTTTTGGGCCGTAACGGTGAAAATTTTCTGATTTATTTTTAATTTTTCAGTGGGATTATTGTGCGTTTTAGGCTTTAATTGATCTTGGCCGGATGGGCGCTTTCACTCCTTTAGATGAGTTTAGCTGGTGAGTGCCGGTCATCTGAAGATTGCCTACGAGAATGAAACTAACAGTAGTTGTCAGTCTCTGTACGTCAGAAATGTAATTCATAATTTAGTAAAGAAACCTTTGCAATCTTATATGGCATGGAGTACTTTTTTCTTTCCGATGTATGTCCGAAGCAGACACATTTTAAGAACCGCTTAAAATTTGATCCATCTAACTATCACGCCATTAGTCTCGTTTTTCCGCAAAGTATTCGAGGCTTAAATCAATACTGAAGTAGTTAAGCATCTTACCCTCTCACGACCTACTCTCTGACAAAAAAAAATGGATTCTGTTTTATCCGGTCTACTGCTGACTTGCTTACGGCCATTACTGAATATGTATATGAAGCTCTTGATATTAACGTAGAGGCTCGAGCTGTGGTTCTATATATCTCAAAATGGTTTGAAAGTGTTTGGCATGCTGGTCTTCTACATGAGCTTCAGGCCTACGGTATTATAGGACGACTATTTGATTTAATCTAATAATTCCTATCAAATCGTAAAATGAAGATCGTTTTCAACGAACTCGTCTCTAGAGACTTTCACACGAACGCGGGTGTCATCCAAAGATCTATGCTGGGTCCTACGCTGTTTCTGATCTTCATCAATAATCTTCCTGATTTCGTCACTTCCTAAGTAGGCATTTATGCAAATGACGCGGCCATTTACTATCTCAACAGCACTTGCGTCAGAGCTGACAAAGTTAAACTCGCCGCTGCTCTTGAAAATGGACTCAGACTCCACTCAGTGGTCAACTAGGGCAGGAAATGGCTGAAAATTTGAATACCTCCAAAAATAACCTGTTCTCATTTATCCACCATAGCGAAACTTCCCTGCCCATCATCAGCATGGCTGATGCTTGATTCCAGGAGTAGGTATAACTGCGCCTTCTTGGCCTCTCGTTTTCAACTGACTTGAATTGGAACAACTAGAGCTCGAAGGAAAGTCGGTCCCTTCTGGCTTCGCAGAAGGTGTTTCTCGTCAGAGTCCATTAGATTGTGAGTGATACGGTGGTGTTTTGTAAGGGGAGCAGCCAGTACACCACAAAGAATTACATAGATCCTCATCACAAATTTCTGGTGTATTATCTTATACTAATGTTTTAGGGACCCCATTTATAGAAAATGTCACTCTTAGTATTTGTTTTATAGTAGTCGATTGTCTATCTTTAACGACTTCAAGCCATCCAGAAAAAAATCTACTAAAATTAGAAATCGCCCCATGTCATGAATGTGTAAATGGTCCATATGAAGACGATACCATGGTCCCATTAAGTTTTTTAATCCTTGGATGTATTCTCTTTTTTTTGGGGGGGGGGCATTTGTGTACTTATCTTTCTATATCGCGATAATATCTTGTCCACCATTCCCCCAATTTTAATCTCTTTTGTGTAGCTTTTATCCAACATATGCCCTTTCATAAACTTTCTTGTATGCACAGATTTCGCAAATGGATTCAAAGTGTCATACTTTATTAAAAAAAATAATAGATTTTTGTAGTGAAATGTGAACGTGAATTTAGCGACATAGTAACCGTGAGTTCAATCCCTCAGCCAGGTAGTACGAAGTCAGGCTGGATAAAAACAGTACTCAGTAAAATAAGAAAACATAATATCCCTAGGCATTTACTGCGGAACGAAAACAATCTACTCCCAATCACCGTAGATTAAATAGACGGTTTAGTTCGAAATTACCTAAACATTATTGTGTTAGACAGAATCCTGAAGAAGGTCATAGAGCACATCAGCTGAAACAACAACAAAGATGAGGACCTTAGTCCCACTGCAATCAAGGTAAATAAAATTCAGGGAGAAATCAACTGGAACCCTTCAAAGAATATTCAATATGATGATCGAAAATATATTCTTTTTGGTTTGGAAAAATGCCGTTTTCTTCAATCCCATTATTCTACAAAAACCTAGTTAAAAAAATAGCCATCTAAACACCATCTACCGTAACAATCACTGAAAAAGCCTTTACGTTATTCAGCTAAAATGAGAGCGTGTAAAAAATTGTTTCGTGTCAGCCGCACTGTCTTCCCAGTGAGCAATGGTGAGAGAAAAATATCCTTCAGGCCTTCAGTACAAACATTCATACTCTGGCTTCCATTTTCAAAGTCCATTCAAGAACCATCCAGAGAACAGTGAACAATTTAAAAAAAAAAAAAAAAAGAGGGAGCCGCCGAGAAGAAAACTGAATCTGGAGGTGACGCCAGGAAGAAGTGTCATCATTTCATCATTTCAAGCTAAAGAGATTAATTAGAAAAGATCCAACTCAATTCATAAGGGGTTTGGCACGTGAGAGAAGAGTTTCTGTGATGACAATCCAAAGAACAGTGAAAAAAAAAAATTTAAAATTAAATCGTACGTGGAAAATTTGAGGCAACTTGTTACGGCAGGACAAAAACTTAGAAGTTTAGAGAGGGCGAAGATTATCTTGAATAAGTTAGTTAATGATCCTGGAGTAACAATATTTGAAGTTCATTTCAATCATCGATGAGCATCCGATCCTTAGCTATGATTAATTAAAGATGAACATATCGTTTTCGTTTATGATCGATTTCATCACGATTCCTCTGTTACGCTTGGAGAGTAATCATACATTCTTAAAGTAGCTTCAAATACTGTTCGAAAAACCACGGTGGATACCAATAAGATATCGTTAGTCATTTCTTAGATACAGCGGTTCAAAGGTCAGTCTAACAAAGAGACAATTTTGCTGTTACAACCGGTATATCTATCTATCTATCTATCTATCTATCTATCTGGTGTAACAGCACACACACACACACACACACACATATATATATATATATATATATATACAAAACACACACACACATATATATATATATATATATATATATATATATATATATATATATATATATATATATATATATATGTATATAATTGTATTTTGTTGTTACACCCGCTATATCTACCTTTCTATATACCGGGTGTAACACAAATATATATATATATATATATATATATATATATATATATATATATATATAGATAGATAGATAGATAGATAGATAGATAACTAGACTCGTTTCGAAAAACCCCTCGAATTTTTGATTGGCTAATCAAATCAATCTCGAGGGAAAAAAGGTTTTAAAAAAGAAAGAGCTACAAACATGAACTTCTGCCGACAAAAAAAATCGCACAGATGCAGGTCTGAAGCCCAAAGAAAAAAACCCGATGCGAGTAACAACTAACTAACAAAAGACCTCAATACAACCGTAGAGCAACCTAGATACACCTAGTGAGCCAGACAAACCTACCTAGGTTTCACCTAAACGGATCGTCAGGGGAAAGTTTGGCTATATATATATATATATATATATATATATATATATATATATAAACACACACACACATACACACACACACACACACACACACACATATATATATATATATATATATATATATATATATATATATATATATATATAGTATGAGCCCTGATGTACAAAGTATATTTTTGAAAACTTACTGGAATAGTGAATTCATTTTTTTATGTAACTCCTTGCTAATTAAAGAGCAGAAAAAGCATTTCCGGTTGAAATCACAATATTCGAAATCGGTTCAATATTAATTCGCCAAAATCGAAAGTTTATAGCAGTGGATGATGGAAAACCAAGGCTTGTAGCGAAAGTGATAGTATTTTCCTCGGCCAACGATGTGTCAGATGAGCAAGTGTTTCTGAAAAAAAAACAAATGAATAGAACCAATCGAGGCCCATACGCCTTGAAGTCGCATGTGAGATCTAGAAAGTGAATATTTCGAAATCATTCTGCGGCTTTTAGAATGTTAGAAAGCTTAGTCACAGATCACACTCCTGACAGCTGTCTCCAGAATCTCTTTGAGGCTGTCCGAAAATATGAGACAGCTTTGCAAATTGCTAATTTACCGAAGTCGAACGTGATATTTCAGTTGCGTGAGATTTAATCTTATTTTGCTCGTGTCTAATCCCCGCAAAGGCACCTGCTCTAGTGAGCGGATTAACAAAGTATATGTGTAGATTAACTGAACTTATCTTAATCTGGAAAGAAATCACAATTCTAGAAAATGTAGCGAAGATCGAATTGCACATTCTAGCAAAGTCCTGCAGTAGTAACTCATTCTAATATTTGCCTTTTCAGGTCGAATAAATATTTGATGGGCACCTCCCGTAGATACATGGTTAATTAACAAGTTCAACGGCCTTTTCATTTTTATTTGCACGTCCATATATACTGAACGATTGAAAAGTAACTCTGCATTTTAAAACACTTATAATTTATTAATTACAATACAATAAAATTAGAGGAAAACCTTCAGCATGAGGTTTTATATAAAATTCAATATGTGTGCTATATTTCATTACCAGTTTCTCGAGACGCACAATAATTGCGTCAATTGATTTCACCAGGAACTCTTGTGGTATGGAAGACATAACTTCTTTTATTCAACCTTCAAGTTCTTCCAGATCTTGGTTTGGTCTAGTAAACTTGCTTCTTTAACCAACGCCAAAGAACAAAGTTAAGAACCAGTGTTTGCCGTTTTATATTTCATGCTTAAATGCACTTTTCATGTCCTGAATGTTGCATTTACATAGGCTCTATCGTTAATGTGGAGCACTTTAATCTGTAAATACAACATAAATTAAACCTATATTTTTATCATATACTAGCAGTAGAGCCCAGCGTTGTCCGGGGATGTAACAGTAAGAGATAGATCAAGTATCGACCATCATAAAGACTGAAAAATAAAATTGACAAAGATTATTCTTTAAGATTGACGGACACGCATGTCTTAATTAGTTTTTTGTTTTGTTTTGTTTTGTTATTTTTTTTATGAATTGGTCAAACCCAATCTTAAACAAAAACATTGTTTTCAATCGTTATGAGTCTACCGATTGAATAGAATTTTATTATAAACAATTGTCATATAAATGGAATTTTTAAAGCATTCTGAATGTAAAAATAAAGAAAAAAGTGTGCAAGACAATAAGAAACACTACCTGCTAAAATAAAAGTGAAGTTTTGTTGAAATCGGTTGAAAAATGTAGGGAATCCGATCCCATATATAAACGAACACAGACACACACACACACACACACACACACACACACAAAAACAACCTGGGTTTTATAATAAGTATAACTCGATATGATTTCATTCTCGCGTCAGCGATACCTTTTAATCGTGTTTTCAATTTGATTTCGTGCAAAAACAATTGTGTTTTTCCAATTTTTGGCGCTGTGAGAACCACCGCATATATATATATATATATATATATATATATATATATAATGAATGCCAACATCAGTGTGCGACCGTTTCAGACTATTTCAATTTAAGGGACACAACTTTCTAACCTCTCTACATTTCTGAGATGAGGTATTGTATTATGTACACTATTTACATTATTCGGACTATTGTCCTCATCTTTGTCGCCATATTTATTACAAAATTTCGGCCGTTGTACGCTCCGATCGTCTTCAGGTAGTTGGAATGTCGAACTGAACCGTTTATTTCCCTCACTGGGGTAGACTGTTCTATTTCCACGTGCCATGTCTAATGGATCTCCGTTATCAATTATCTCCTGTTAATTCCTCTCTCCAATACTCTTAACCAGGTATTAAACTCACACTCTTTGTGTCTTGTTACTGGATCTAACAAACGCCTTTATCCACTGTGCCATGTGTCCTCATAGCAAAGTGGATAAGAATTTGGGGAGGGGAATTAACAAGAGATAACTGATAAATGACATCCATTCGAGGTGGCAAGTGGAACTAGAACAGTCTACCCCAGCGAGCGAAATAAATGTTTCAGTTCGACATTTCTAAACACCTGAATAAGGCCGGAGAGTAAAACGGCTGAAACGTTGTAATAAACATGGCGACAAAGATGAGGACAATGAAGATGAAAGTCACTACTAATATCACGCTTTTTCAATTAAAGGGACACAATTTTCTAACTTTTAATAGCTCTTGTTACAGAAAGTTTGGATTCACATACAGGGCATTTAAAGCCAGTTCAAGTATGGATATATAAGTGATAGAAATTGTTTGGAGAATTTGAAATATATATATAATTAAGCAACTCATCGTGTTTAGAAGTGAATGACTTCCACCACGGAATATGTGAACGAGCGGCGCTATATCAAGTCTAATTCGGCAAAATAGGACGAAAATGGCCGTCCTGTGTTTTCTGCATTCTGTTGAGGTTTCTTCCT